CTTTACATATTTTCTACATATATATAAATAATATAAAATATATAAATAAATATATATATAAATATTATATATTATATATAGAAACGTACGTGTATGCGATAGGTGTATGCACATATACTTACAATCGTGGAATTGCAAATGATGGGAATTGGGGGGTTGGGGGAGTGAGGGGGTGGCCGCATTCCATCGGCTGCTTTCGAGACTCTTGATCCTCAATTTCCAAAGCACTGAGGATCACAGATACAGGAGGGGTGGGAAGGGGAGGAAAGTGCGGACAGACAAGAGCCAAGCGGGGTGCCCAAAGGTTTTCGAGGAGTGGGTTATTCTCCCTTTCCCTTAAGGGTGAATCCCAAGGGTGAACCGGATACACGTACGTTTCAGCCAGTCAGCCAGTCAGCATCACGCTTGGAGCGCCTTCTCTTATATGCGTGTGCGTTTATGTATATATATATGTGTATATTTACTTAAATGCACACACATGCACACCGCGTATGTATATATGTGTATGTGGCTATGTACGTATGTATATATGTATATGTATATGTATATAACTCGATAATTCAATGGCGATACGTGATCGTCGTAATCGCACCACTAAAACCACCCCCTAACAATCTCATACGAGGAGCAACCTAACAATAATAACAATAATAATAATAATAATTGATTTAATAATTAAGAATATAATAATTATTTCAGATAATATAATAATAATAATAATATTATTTATGTTATACTATTTCTACGTAACAACGGGTTTCGATCGAATGTAGGTTGGATCGTTTCGGGTATCGATATTCGAGGTCGGCTAAGGGGTTAAAAAAAAAGAAAAAAGAAAAAATGTAGGAATATAAGGGAAAATATATGTGCACCGCGCGAGTTTCGTTTCCCTCGTAGTAGCATCTTGCAGTTAGCTCGGTTATAAATAAAACCACGCGCGTCCTCGAACGTTTCCGAGCGATGAACGATTTTATCTTCGGGCCACGGGCTCGGTCCACCAAACATCATACACAACTACTACTACTACTATTACTATTATTACTTACTTACCAACAACTATCATCGATACTGCTATAATACTTTCGCTCGATTTTCTAATACAATTACTTCCTTTAAACTGCCATTATTAAAAATAGAAAAAGCAGCGCAGAAATGATGTTCACTATTTTAAATAAATAAATCAGGAGGAATACAAAAATTAAAAAAAGAAAAAATAAAATAAGAAAACGTTTATCCTCGGAAAAATTGTCGAAAAAAAGAAAAAAAAACAAAGAAAAAAGGGGGTGGTTAATAGGGTGGCTTAAGGATTCGTATTCGTTTTGATTTTATTTGGCCGTGTTGTTTCAGGATTGCACTCACCCCACGAAGGAATGGCCGGTGGTTCCGGTCAAAGTATGTCCGGTCTCGCTTACTATCAACCTGAACATCCTGCATCTACGGGAGTGGTCAAGTATCCGGAGAACGGTCACGATACGCTTTCCGATTTCGTGACGTTTGTCTGTCAAGAAGCTGAAAATACCCAACAACTACCCCAGGTAGCTTCTGGATCCGTCGAGACCGCCACAGTGTCGTCGCTTCTATCGTAATCTCGTTAGCTCCACTCTTATCTTTCATTCTCTTTCATTATCTTTATCTTTATCTTTATCTTTTTCTCTCTTTCTCACTCTCTCTCTCTCTCACACACACACACAAACACTTCATTTGGCAGAAACACCCCCCACCCGTTTACCTATTTACCACTTTCTTCCTCTTTTCTTTCTTTTTTTCCTATCTTATTTATTTATTTAATTATTTTTTTATACGAATTGCACACTATTAGCCGAGAGTTTGGAGAACGTATGCAAATGGCCACCACACTGTGGCGGTTACGCACGACCTGCATCATTTTCCGTGCTCCAGTCGCCCTGGATTCACGATATTTTTCATCTAATAATGTTGAACAATAGATAAGATTATCTATTAGTCACGTATTTTCACTTACTATCTATCCGTCTCTTTTTCTCTCTCTCTTTTTCTCTCTCTCTCTCTCTCTCTATCTCTCTATCTCTCTCTCTCTTTCACTCTTTCTCTCTCTCACTCTATTTTTATTTATCTTTCTTTTTCGTTAGATAGTTGTGGATGTAATAGTTGTCTCTTATTTCTTTTTTCTTTTTGTTTAATCGCACGTTTTTACAATTATTCGAATTGAAAAAAAAATGATATTTTTCATTGGAATTCGTCGACGAGAATACTTGCGCGGAATTTTAAAAATATTTTTCTACGTTTCTTTAAGTTAAATTATCAATATGCCAAGATCCTTTTGAAAAATGTATTATATTTAGGAATCTCAAATCGTCATTTTAAATCTTCCAGAAAATAAAAAAACCGCGATAAACTAATTCCAAGTTTCATAAATCCATCATTAAGGGGTGGGGGGGGGGTTGATCTAAACTTTGTTCGTTCGGCGTGGTAAAAAAAGAAAAACGGAAAGAAATTAGATAAAAGCTTAGGAGAATTAGTATGGAGAGTTAAACAATGATTAAAAAGAGAAAGAATGAATGATTCGCGTAAGTGTTGGATCGATCGGGGTGAGTGGATCACGCGCGGGTCGAGTGTGAGTTGATCGGAGGGTGTGTGCGATTTCCAGGCGCAGCTAGCGGGACCGCGTACTGGCATACAAAAGTTCTCACAGTATTATCCGAGTTCGATGTTACCTCCACCACCACCTGCACCCATGGCGAGACCGGTAGCGATCATCAGGTCAACGGGGGAGTTGACTGGCACGAGCGCCAATTCGCCCCCCACTTCGTCAACATCTCCAACGGATCAGGCCGAACTTGGGCCCAATCAACAGGAACAGATGGCAGCAGCTGCGGCCGTTGGATTGGTCAGTTCGGCTTGTCAGAATTCCGTCGATCCGGCTGGTAGAAAAAGTCCTGCGAGAATTCTCGTCACAGCACCGCACACCAGCAGGGAATACACCTTTGCTCATTTTCATTCTCAACCTGGACAAGTAAGATTATATTCAATACTTTAACAGGAGTCTCGCTCAATATTCTCTTTCTCTAAATGTAAATCAGTGTTACAATTTACTCGATCATTTTTTAAGTTTATCTCAATTGTAACGATCGTATTCTATCGTGTTGCAGCAAATCTTTACCTATCCAACTATCAGTTCGATGTCAGGGGTAATATCTCCGACGAATCTCTCGCTGTTCTCGTCTCCCGTTTCGGTGACGAGACCAGTAGCCACCCAAAGGTCGGTCTCGAACGTACCACCACGTTGGAATACAACACCGTTTATCAACCTCGAGGATGATTATAATATGATAGCACCTATCATCGCGGGAACGACCAGTGAACCACCGCCACAGATGGACGAAGGTAAAGATAATCAGTTACCTTATTTTAACACGTTCACAAGTTCATATTTTTCTCTATAAGGTGTAGCTCGAATTCGTATTACACTTGGGTCAGTCGTGCGTGACACACTGCTGATCCTATCGAAATAAAATTCCCCGAAACTTTGTTATGATTCTAAAGATTTGATTAAAACATTTCAGATCGTTATTTCCATCCGGTTCATACGAGCAGCGTGGTGGACAAAACTGGTACGGGTAATTTAATGGGAACCGATTTAGGCGTGGCTACCGATCCCACGTCCCATCATCATCAACAACAACAGCAACAACAACAACAACAACAACAACAGCAGCAACAGCAACAACAACAACAACAGCAACAGCAGCAGCAGCAACAACAGCAGCAAGTGATGCAAGATAAAACCGGTAGGCCCAAGTCTCCCCCGTGACACTGGGGTCTTCGACCGGAAAGTCTTGCGACTTCAGCAGCGCCATGTTGTTCCACGGGGTCGTTTCTCACTCCCATCCACGATAACAGTAACCAATTATATCACCCCGATATTATTGAGGGTGAACATCCGGATTCCTCCTGTCGCGTCCAACGACGCGATCTGAGTTTTCGGAGAATCGAGTGCCTGAGAGTCTGAACGTACTATATATATATATATTATTTGAAATAAGCGTAAAGACCTTTGAGATAGATACTTACTTTTTCTCATAAAAAAAAAGGTTCGTTCGACATTTTGATTCCTCGAACGAACCCCGCTAGTAACTTAACTAACCTCCTTCTCTCTTCTCCTCCTCTTTTACGTCTACAACACTTTATACGTAAAAAGAAAACAAAGTGAGAAAGGACAAAACTAAAACGCACGCGTCGCGTATCTTTCTCCTCAACTTTTGTATTCTAAATTCTTGGGTTTTCTTTTTTCATTCGTGCCGTTCTTAAATTATGAAAGTGATCTAAATTGGAAAACATTTGATAATAAGTTGATTTTATGATTTTCATTTATATTAACATTACTTTTATCATATTAATTGTAAATAATTTTAATATTTTACACCGCGTGTTTTTTATCATTATTGATAAATCAACTTTTTTTTGTTTCACTCGAACACGCCACTTAGATAAATTTTATTGGGCACATATATAATTTCTCTTTCGCTTAACTTTTCGATTCCCGATCGACCGTAATACCTCAATACTGAGAAAAAGGATACTAAAAGTGATATACTTATCAACGTGCCAATTAAAACGAGGGAGAGGGAAAGAAAAGGAAGGTTTAAAGGGGGTCGATCGGTGATAAACTTCAATTCTATTCGTTCGTTCGTTCGTTTGTTTCTTGTATTTTTGATTTTCTTTAATCATTCTTACAAATTATGTCAACGGTCTGCCAACACAACAATGATGACGATTATAACGATAGATTTATCTATAAAAAAAAAAAAAAGGAACTATGTTATATTAAAGCTCAGACCTTTAGTGCTAACAATAAATATAACTGCTAGTGGGGGGAAAAAAAAGAAATAAAAAAATATAACAAAATGAAAAAATAAAATGGAAGGAGGACTAGCTAGTGCTAGATAAACATAAGAGGCTGCTAGTTAGAAAAATAAACAAAGTGATGAATTTAATATTTCGTAATATTTCATTACTCGAATTCGAAAAACAATTAAACTGATTATAATGCGTTGTACTTATATTTATACATACATATACATATATACATATACATATAAATATATATATATATATTAACGGGAACAGCGTTGTGATGCGAATGGAACGAAACAATGTGTGTTGCTAAAACAATAATTGTATTGCATCTAGTAATATGCAATCGAATGTATTACAACGAAATCATACAAAACGTTTTCATAGTTCCACGAGCAAAACTACGATGAATCTACGGACGTATGGACGATAACAAACGAACAAAACAAAAAACACATGATAGGATATGTTAGAAAACAATTAAAAAAAAAAAAAAGAAAAACACATATACACATAAGTAAAAAGAAAAAGAGGAGAGAGAAATAGAGAGAGAGAGAGAGAGAGAAAAAAAGAGAGGAGACGAACCAATGTCGAAAATGTGACTAAAGTGTTACCTAAAATTATCCCCCAGTCCACCAAAAAAACCCACCATCCTTTCCCTCACCCTCTTATCCTATCCTATCCAACATTATCAAGCCCAAAAAATCTCAAAACCTTATTGTAAAAGTAAAAATGCGCTTAATATACTCGCTAGTTGACAAGATTAATAGTTTATGATTTGTAGATTTATAAAGGGTTACACTTTGTTTCCTCTCCTCGAGTAAGATTGAAAGAGTGTAAGCGGCCTCTTTTATTTCAAACCTTGAGCTTTACAAAATAGGAGCTGGGAAAACGGGGTGGGGGGTGGGGGAGTTTTGGTTGTAAACGGTTGTTACGCACAAAATTAAAAAAAAAAAAAAAAGAAGAAAATAATAGGAAGAAAAACGATTAGAAGGAATAAATAAATAATGCATTAGCAAAAGGATCGTATTTATTAAGTATTATACTTAAGTATAATAAGATGCGAGATAAAAACGGTATATTAGGTTTGAATAAAAGAGGATGCGCGCGTGTTGTTTTATTATTATTATTATTATTATTATTATTATTTGTTTTAATTATTTGGAAAAAACTTCTTGTACACTCAGTCAATCGGTTCGTAGTGATAGTACAAAAGAATAAGAACACAAAAAGAGGTTTGGACAGCAGCAAAACGTAATACTTACGTAATAATACATACTTATGTCAATAATAAAAATGATAGGCACAGTGGGCCGACGATAAAATACATTATTATCCCTCCGAGGAATGAATTTAATGGATGCTTTTACTGATGCTAATTCATAATACGAAGCAAGGTTATTATTGCTACCACTATTGTTAATAACTATATTTACGAGCTATTATTATTATTATTATTAATTAATACTATCGTACCACCACCACCATCATCACCAACATCACCATCAACATCACCATCACCATCGCCAAATACACCAAACCAACGCCAACAACTACTGCTGCTGCTATAACTACTACTACTATTATTACTATACTAATACTACTACTACTAATACTATACTACTACCACTACTACTACTAATAATACTAATAATACTATTACTACTACGACTACAACTACTACTACTATTACTACTATTACAGCTACCAGTACTATTAACAATAATTACAACTACTACTACTACTACTACTACTACTACTACTACTACGGCTGATACTACTACCGCTACTACAACTATTATTACTACTACTACTACTACTAATATTAATACACTAAGTAAACTAATAACTAATATCGCGCTAAATACGATACGAATAATACTTTATAAAGGAAAAATAATTGAAGGAGGATAAATATACAATGTAAATATATTCGAGTCGCTAAGTATAGATTTAGAAAATTGTTACGCACATTATTAACAAGGAGGAATTAATTGATCTAATGAGCAATTAACGAGACGACGCCCCGCTATATTTAATTAGCTTTCATTTTTAATATATTTCATAAGTTAATGATTAAAAAGAAAAAAGAGATAAAATAAAAAGCAGCAAGATCAAAGGATCTCTCCTATGAAGAAAAGAAATTCAACGGGAGATTTATTTTGAAACGATTGAAAGACAGATAAGAAATAATTAGAAATTCTAGATCGATTAGTATGATTGGATTCGATAGTCGCGCATTGATCGTTTATTGAAAAAAAAAAGAAAGAAAGAAAGAAAATATAAAAAAAAAGGTACAAGTTTTTAAACCTTTACGATGCCAATAACAGAAAATCTAATTCACACAAATACTTTCCTTAATATTTTATATATATATATATGTGTGTGTGTGTGTGTGTGTGTTTGTGTGTGCGTAAATGAAGGAGAAAAAGGATAAAATGAAGAATACGTAGAAAGCAAGGTACGAAGTATTTAATATCTATTATTATTATTATTTTTTTTTTTTTTTTTTTAAAATATTAATAAAAAATAAGATGAAGATAAGATGCAAATATTAAGGGTAGTGATTTGGGATAAAAAAAAAGTGTGCCAATTTAGATTATAGTTAGATTTACGATTGATAATGATTAATTATTATTATTATTATTATTATTATTATTATAACTATAACGTTTATAGCGTAGGTAAATTGTTTCTTTCTATTTTTTGTTTTCTTCTTCGTTTCATATAAAAAAATATTTTACCAATTATTTTTCCTTACTTCGCGATTTAATAGAATAATTAATCGATAAGTTTTTTGCTGCTGCTGCTGCTCGCGTAATTTATTAAAGTTTATAAACAAAATGAGATAGACAAAAAGAGAGAGAGAGAGAGAGAGAGAAAGAGTGAGTGAATGAATGAGAAAGAAAGAGAGAGAAAATGATATCGTATAAATGATTGGCATGAACACCTACGTTTGACTTTTGTGCGTGAGTGTGTAAAGTAAATAAGAATAATAAAAAAGATATAAAAAAAAAAAAAAAGAAACAAATTAACATAATATAAAAGGATCGGCGTTATGGTAGACACACACACACACACACATGAGTATGATATAACACCGATTATGTTTGCGACGACCTACCACCTTTCTCTCTAAAAATAAATTTTCCCCCCAAAATAAAAAAAAACCAACACCTTGTCCAACATCCAACCCCCGTAAAAATCCGTAAAGAATGTGTATGAGTGTAAAATTTAACAAGTACCGTTAGAGATTATTCGTCGTATTATTTATATAATCTCATTTTTATTCATTTATCAATTTTCTTTTTTTTTTTTTTTTATATATATTCCTAATTTTCTATTTCTTTTTCTTTTTCTTTTTCTTCTTCTTCTTCTTCTTCTTCTCCCGATATTTCCTTCCTTCGCGAAAAAAAATTAACGTCGAGTCGTTAGAAAAATAAAAGAAAAAAAAAAACACACATTAACGTTAGCTCGCGTAATTAATTATTGTAAATTAATTAACGGTCATCGAAAGGCGGTCGATGAAAAAAAAAACAAAAACAAAAATATTAACTAAAAGAGAGAGAGAGAGAGAGAGAGAGAGAGAGAGAGAGAGAAGTTCTCGCGTTGATATGCATTGCGAATAAAAATAAAAATAATAATAATAATACTACTAACGAACAAAAACAAAAAAAAAGAAAAAGACAAAAACTTCCAAGTTTGAATACAACGAAAAAAGACAAGGAAAAAGAAAATGACACTACCCTCTCCCCCGCCCGCCCCCCCTCGAAAAAAAAACATAACAGTGGAATAAAAAAGAAAAAAAAAAAAAAGAGAAAAAAAAACAAAAGAAAAAAAGGAGCACAATTTAAATTTATAAATTTTGTAAATTTAAATTTAACGAGAAAAAAAAAAAAAAAGAAAAAAAAAGAATTTAAATTAAAAGAATTTTTTTAAATATATTAAAATAATTAATGTGTAGTAGAGATGAGAAAGCACGGTGCTTTTACGTCCGGCTAAGTACAGAGATACATTTTTGTATAGCGTCTCTCGAGCTGCCTTGTAACCGAAAGTGCATTAAAACAATTGTTCTCACAATGGCTAATCGCGAGGGGGTTTGGTATAAAGGAATTAAAATGAATTAAAGAGAGAAAGAAGTATACGCAAAATGAAAGGATTGATAACAGAAACGAAAAGAATAATATCTTTTGTTGCGAAGGGTCCTCCGGGTTAGTTAAATCATTTTTAATGTCACATTTTGCAATTTTCTTTTTCTTTTTTTTTTTTGTTTGTTCTCCAAATTCTCTCCAATTGTTCATATTTCAATGTATAATATATAATTGTTGATAATTCGATTAGAATATTATTTGAAATTATAACTAAGTTTAATTCTWAGGGATGTTATTTTTTGGACAGGTTTCAATTAGATGAACAATATATTTATCCGTTGAACGTTTCGTCTCTATTTGAGACTTACTCAGCAACTTGATAGTTATGTTCATAAGTCAATATAACATCATTTTTATTACAGTCATAAGTTTTCACTATCTTATATATAGAGTCAATTTTTTAAAAACGTTATCCTACCATAACTTTTCGAACACTACGAAACGTTCAACGGATAAATATATTGTTCATCTAATTAAAATAACATCCCTAAGAATTAAACTTAATAATAATATTAAAAAATTTTGAATAAGAAAAAAATCTTTATTATCTTAACATTATTTGAAATAATTGTAATATAATAATTATAAACTTATCCGGGGAATATAATTAAAACAACAAACGTGTTTATCTCAATCCCGTGAAAATCTTTCGCACATTTAACATTATTTATACAAATAACAAATAATTTATGAGAATGAAAAAAAAAATAAGAAATAAAAAAAGAAGGAAAATAACCCTCTCGTGGGTGCCTGACGAGTACGAGGACTTTTTCTACGTAAGGATAGG